TTCACTGTTGATAATGTTAATATCTTTGCAAGTTTTTAATGAACAAATGGGGGAATTTTTGAAGATGAACTGAGACTGATGGTCTCTTGACCTCTGCTAAGCAGCAGGGCCTGTGAAATACAAAAAACAACTGTTTCTCTTAATGGTGGAGAGGAATCCTGCAAATCTTTTCCAAAAGAAAGAAACTCAACACAGCAAGGTTAAAGAAAAAAAAAAAAGAAGCATATGTTAGCTGCACATAACTGCTCATTTAAGCAATAGCAAAAGCTGTCACAGGCGATAATTACAGAAATAAGCTTCACAAATTAGTATTCATTTTAAATTGATTTTAAAAGTTCATGCATTTCAAAGAGTTATTATTTTGAGTCTTCTACAGGCTTGTACAAATAAGACTTCTGTTCATAACTGGAAGCTCTCTCTTTTATCATATTGCCAAGGATATCCAATACAGAATAGAAAGACAAAAAGAAGTCTGAATTTCATACTTTGATCTTACCAAGCTATTGTGCAACGCTGAACACAGAGGTGCAGTAATATTACATTTACAAATATTACATCTTTCTACAGGTGCAGAAATATTATGGTTATAACTTTTACGTCTTTCAACAGTGTATAGGAGAGACTTCAGTGTCACACCCCCCCCAGTGACAAATGCGATACCTGTGGGAGTAATCTCTTTCTCAGCTGAGCTAAGAAGCATTTTTTCTTTTCAGGGCCGAAATTATGTGCTTGAACAACAGTTACTGACTACTTACATCAATGGTAGGACGCACGGATTTCCACAGTATAACACATTTGGTGCTTACTCACCATTACTCACTAGAGGACAACCCTCTCCACAAATACAGATTAAATCAATGATTTCAAAAAGGACACTTATAAAGGCACGTTTTAAAGCTTTATGAATAACGTCTGCAATGTTTTCCTTACTGACTTACGAGCAGCCACCCACTCCTGAGGGCATTTTCTCCCTCCTTCTGATGCAGTTCTAATTGTCAAGTGAAGGATCAATATCTGGATACTACAAAGCATATACTACTTCTGCTATTTATTTGTTACTTTGCTGTTAAGAATTTTTTGTTGACAAGTTTTTTGTTGAAAATTTTTTCAGAAGTGCTTGAAAAGTGCTTTGTCTGCAGCATAAGAAATAGCTAAAAAGTTGCTCCACGGTTAGAGGAAATTAAGAGCAAGGTAAGGAAACATCAGTCAGGAAGGATTCCGATAAAGTCGAGCCAGCTTTGGACAGTCAGGTTCCCTGGAAAACTTGTCATGTCTTTGCCTCTTGTTAAGTTAATTTAAGACTAATCCCGCAAGCCATCTGCAGGGATAACATAGTCACATCCGTGTCACAGGCTCCTGAAACCATCAACAAAGGGACCAAGTAGCATGATCAGAAACCACTCGGGTAAAGGACTACAGTCACTCACTCTCCTCACTGAGGGGTTCCAACAGCATAGGCAACTGAGTCAGCAACACAGAAGCCTGTGACTCCCTATTCCACATCCGAACCCCAAAAAACAAGACCAGAAGGAGGATTCTGAAAGCACGCTTGGCTCCCAGGTTCAGCACCTTGTAATAATGCTCCAGCAGGATCCTGACAACCCCTTCCACGCTCTCCACTTCCACGGGCTTCCTGGCAAACTGGAGCAGGTACTGCAAGGCATCTGCAGGTGAGGTGGCTTTGCACAGGTCGACATGGAGCGCGGCCGACTTGCTGGGCTTGGTCAGCCGCAGCTTCTTAGCGGACAGGTCCTCGTGCTGCTGCTGCACGCAGAGGAGATGCAGTTCAGAAACACGGAGCAAATCCTGACCGACTCCTTCCCAGAGTGAACACTCTCTCACCACCAAGCCAGAGGAAACTCCTGTGCCCCACAGCAGTCACTGGCCTCTCTGTGAGCTATCTTGAGAAGGGACACATTCCCAGCTCTCTGGGGCAGCTCCCATCCTGCCCAGGTAGCCCTGATCCCCGGGAAACACTGCTTCTCCCCACTCCAGCTTGGGGCAAACCCTGCCCCTTCCAAACCCCAGACAACCACCCCAGGGCAAACACGGTTTCTCACACACAAACGCCCCAGCCTGCAGCAGCCCGGCAGTGGCGGCCCTCCCCAGGTCGCCCCCTCCCCGCCCTGAGGGGAGCACCCTTCCCCTCCCGCACACCCCCTGAGGCAGCCCCCTTCCCTCCAGGCAGCTCCGGCCTCCCTAAGCCCGGGGTCAACCCCTCCCGCTCCTCCCCAGCCCCTCACGGACCGCACCGGCCCCGAGGCGGCGAGCAGCGCTCCCAGGCTAGGCCCCGCGGCTAGACCGGCGGCTTTTCCCACAGCTCCGCCGAAGCCAACCGCCGCACGGCAAAGCTCGGGGCAGTCCCTGTCCGCCAGGCCCGGCCCGGTGGCGGTGCGTTACCTGGACCACCTTGGTGAACTCCTCGTACACCCGCTTCTTCAGGTGAGCCGCCATGCCGCCGCCTGGCCCTCCGCGGCCGCCGTACGCGCCAACCGGAAGAGAAACCACAGAGTCACCCGCAGGGAGGTGGCAGAAAGAGCGTCCTCTCTTCCCGGCTGGAGGCCGCGCTCTATGGTCAGGCGGCCTCCTGTTGCCATGGGAACGCGGGCCTGACATGGCGGCTGCGGCCTGGCCCGTCCTACAGGCAAACCCCGCGGAGGGGGGCCAGCCCTGTCAGCCCCGCTCATTTCCCCCCCCCCCCCCACACCCCCCCCCCGCGCCTCAGCCTTTTGCCTGTGCCCAACA